AAGTGGGAGAACTTGCACAATTGGTGGCTGACTAAATACTTTTTTGCCCCACTGTAAGTGTTCATGAAGTTGCTAAAGCCCTGCAGCAGTCCAAATATCTAGCAAGTAAGTGGGTCTGAATAAAAGAAACTTCCATACCTGCATCTCTCTTCTCATTGGATATGTCCAATCCTAAGTGGAAGAAATAAAATACATTTTCTCATTTGAACATAAGACCAGTCAAAATAGTGAGGTTTCTGGAAAAGATGCAAGATGAAAATGATAGGTTAAACAATCTAATTAAGCTATAGGTTTGATCTTGTAATTCTTCACTAGGTTTCAATAAAGGTATTCTGAAAAATATTCTTAGATATTTATGCAGACTATAATGGCAGAAGAATTCCTAAACCATATAATGTTTACCCAAATGAGCTTTTTCACTTGTATATGAAGCAAAATACAACCTGGGACACTGAATCCAGGCTGAATTTGAACATGGTTATGTACAATTACCCATTTGCAAAAAAACTGTGGTAGAAATGATTAGTAGTTCAGAACTAATATGGAAAAGAAAGATGTGTAAATAATCCTGGAAAATGTTTTAAGGAAGAAATACAATATTAAAACTATGTGTTGTCAATACAAAGATTCCAGAAATTTAATTTCTTAAATGTAATCTATCAAATCTCCCACTATCTAATGACTTTCTCTGAAAGTCAAAACCATGAGTGAGATACTGCTAACAACAGGCCTACTGCACATTTTATGCTAAACCATGACTGTTAAGCACAGCTTGTTAATGTAATCTATCAAATCTCCCACTATCTAATGACTTTCTCTGAAAGTCAAAACCATGAGTGAGATACTGCTAACAACAGGCCTACTGCACATTTTATGCTAAACCATGACTGTTAAGCACAGCTTGTTGAATCTATCATAAATGGCTATGTTCATATTAAATTAAATAATAAGCCTCATTTTATAAGTCTCAACTTCTAAGTTCATGCAATACATTAAGCCACAAATAAGCCACACACAGTTTAGTACAATGTGTAAATCCAGTTACTGTCTCCCTAGTTTAAACAATCAATTTCATAAGTCATCAATTAAAGGATGTTAAAAGAAAACTAACCAAAGGTTCTGACATATTGGGACTTTTTCCTCATTTTGAATTAGTTCACCTTGTACATCAATTTGCTGCCCACATATTGGATTCTAGCTTAAGGAAGGCTAATATAGAGATGCATGAAAGCATTAAATTAAATACTACAAAATAAATGGCAATTGGAAAACAGCAATGATTCCCCCAGACTGCAAATGCATGGCCAATATATAGTAACAAACGAGATTAGTTTAACTATGAGTGCTAATAAAAAGTGCACACTATGCTCAATTAATAGTTCACCTGATATTACTTTTACTGAACAAATCTTTATAGCTAAGAATCTAATTCTTCAATGTTCCATCTAAGGTAATTTCCTCCATTTATATCTTATTTAAATCTAACTACACTACTCTTTTAAGACAAGACTGCTCTACACTTAGAAATAAAACTCAAAAGATAAATAAATGATATAGCATGTTTTAAATTAATCCACCAAGCTTTAAAAAATACTGTAGTACTGGAAAATGTTCAGAAAAAAATCAAGAGAAGTGATTAAGAGTTTTCAGTTTTGCAAGAGATAAACAAGATTGTTCCTCTGCAAAATGAAACCAGGTTCACAATAACCCCTATGAGGATAGCTTACAACATTTGGGTCTTTTTTAGCTTAGAAAAATAAAGTAGAACATGAAATATATGAAACTATGCTCTCAAAATATTAGAACCTGACTTCATCCAGTGAAGTGGTGAACAGTTCATGACAGCTAAAAGAATTTCCTCAAACAAATCAATAGGTAAAACTGGAATTTCCAGTTTCCAGATCACAGGAAATAATAGTTCCACTCAATAACTATGTCTCACTGAGGTTGCCACTCTTTAGGAAGGAGTCAGAGAAGCTGATCCAAGTTCAGAGAAGGACAATGAGGAGGGGACTGGAAGTATTACAAGGAGAGATTGAAGACAGCATTTTATCTTAAGACAAAAATTACTAATATGGGATCTAATAGTATTTTACAAATGCCTTAAGGATATTACAAAGAAGCTTCAGATCCATTCTCTATCATCCCAAGTGCAGGAGACAGAATAATGCATTTAAGTTACAGGAAGGCAGATATGAATTTAATAAGAAGGGAAAAAATCCTAACAGTAAGAATATTCCACCATTATCCAGAAAGGTAATGAGTTCCCTTTCAATGGATGTGTTAAGCAGAGGCTGGGCAATTATTTGTTTAGAGATACACTGAACTGGATTTATATTCTATACTGTACTGAGCAGGGAATTGACTATTCCCATCCTTCCAACTATGATTCTAAACCTCGTGCTTAAAAGGTTGGTCTATATAGTAAGCACTTTCTTTCCTATATCTCTTCTAAGCAGTAATGTCAGCTGACAGAAAATCCTTAGGCTACCCACCATGAAGCAAATGTGCCCACAATAAATAAATAAATTGCAGCCCCCTCTGTGCTACCTCATTTGCAACATAAACATTTCTTTCCTCAAAAGAGCTAAATAATCCAAAACTTATATTCTTCCATATAGCTGAGGAGTAATAGCTGCAGATAATAGTTTCACTATTTTAACTTATTAAAACTTTCTTTAAAGTATATCCTAAGATTATTTGTCATTAGCTGAGAGAAGTATGGCAATGTAAATATTTGGAAATGCTTAATGTAAGATAGCAAACAGCAAAATATATGCTTTAGTAATAACAACAGAGATGAAAAATGTAGAGCATAGTCTTACTAAGCATTTATTTCAGGTACAACCCAGAAAGCATTTATATATACAGCCAAACTGATACAATACAAACATCAAAAAGCAGCAGCAGAACAAGCAGACTGTCATGGCCACTATAGCTGTTATTTTGCAAGACCTAGTTGGAATATGAATTATGAGGAAAATGACACATGTCCTTCCTACTAGAATGAGAAATTCAGACAAAGAAATGGGAAATCAAATGTTGTCCTCCAGACAGGTTAAATATTCTCCTACAGACAATCACAATCAGATTAATCAGAAAGCAATAGACTAGAGCCTTAATTTTGATCCCCAACATTACTAGATTCTTGCAAAAACACAACAGCCAATTTATAATAAGACATTATTATCCTGAGAGTTGCTTTGAGATGCACATTCTAGGCTGCCTAACTCTTAATGTACACTAGTCGTCCCTAAAACAGATTTTCACAATTCCATAGAAACAAACATCTATATGAAGGCTAGCAAATTGCTGGTATTTTATCTAATGCAAAATGCTTCGAATCTGAAATGGTCTAAACTCAAAATGCCATTTTTAGTTTGCAACAATTCTGACTTTACTCATAATGTTCCGATACTGACCATTCTGGAAGTATTTTGAGCGTGAAACAGAAATAGTAAACCTCATCCATACTGTTTTTAATGTCTGGAAGTCAGCTATAATGTGGTGCCTAAAGAAGTTACAGTATAAGTGGGTTTACATTAATTTTACAGTATCTCTGATAATAAAAAATAGGAACAGAAATTGCTTATAATGACAAATATAGGGATCTCAGGAATCTTGTGAGAACATAATAACCATTTGACATTGGCTAAGATATTAACTCTCAATTTAAAAGATTTCAGTTTAATGGGAAATACACTAGATCTAAGTTATGAATTTCAGCCAATAATGGCTCCAAGTAATGGACAAAGTCAACTCACTGGCAAATTAATCCAATGTTTGTTGCCTCTTCTCAAAATAGTTACTACTCACTAAAGTAGTAAAATAAAATAGGCTGTCTCATAAAGTCTACATTTCGGGGGGGGGTTGAAAAATCCTATTTGCCATTGCATACAGTGGGGCAAAAAAGTATTTAGTCAGCCACCAATTGTGCAAGTTCTGCCTGTAATTTTCACCTCAACTATGAGAGACAAAATGAGAAAAAAAATCCAGAAAATCACATTGTCTGATTTTTAAAGAATTTATTTGGCCTGTAATTTTCACCTCAACTATGAGAGACAAAATGAGAAAAAAAATCCAGAAAATCACATTGTCTGATTTTTAAAGAATTTATTTGGCCTGTAATTTTCACCTCAACTATGAGAGACAAAATGAGAAAAAAAATCCAGAAAATCACATTGTCTGATTTTTAAAGAATTTATTTGGCCTGTAATTTTCACCTCAACTATGAGAGACAAAATGAGAAAAAAAATCCAGAAAATCACATTGTCTGATTTTTAAAGAATTTATTTGGCCTGTAATTTTCACCTCAACTATGAGAGACAAAATGAGAAAAAAAATCCAGAAAATCACATTGTCTGATTTTTAAAGAATTTATTTGGCCTGTAATTTTCACCTCAACTATGAGAGACAAAATGAGAAAAAAAATCCAGAAAATCACATTGTCTGATTTTTAAAGAATTTATTTGTCAAAGTATTGAGATGAACTTTTGATACTGACCAAATACTTATTTTCCACCCTGATTTGCAAATAAATTCTTTAAAAATCAGACAATGTGATTTTCTGGATTTTTTTTCTCATTTTGTCTCTCATAGTTGAGGTGAAAATTACAGGCCTCTATGATGAAAATTACAGGCCTCTATCATCTTTTTAAGTGGGAGAACTTGCACAATTGGTGGCTGACTAAATACTTTTTTGCCCCACTGTACATACGTTAGGCTTTCCTCGTATATACAGAAAGTGCTAATTATGAATTTACATCAGATGTATTGTTCGGACTGCCAATATTAGAAAAATGGTAAGTTACTGCCTTCCAGCTGTTTTTGTCTACTGTCCCGAATCCCTTGCTGGCTTGGTTCATAAATATGAAATCCAATATCTGGGCTAGATTATCTACTCGAGTTATCAGACAAACAGTCACACCAATGGAAAACTGGCTCTATAAAAAAAAAAAAAGTAAAACGGCCAGGCACGTTCCATTTTCTAACCAACTGCCATTTAGGACCTTCTCTTCTAGAACTGTTTTTATCACCAACCTTTTTAGCAGGCTTCATCAAGGGGTAGAGATAAAGCGGTCAGGCCTATTTCTGCCAGTTTTACTGAGATCAACTGCATTTCCTTCTTGCTTGTTAAATTTGACTTAATTGAAAACTATGCCTCTTGGCTATTATAACAATCCACACATGGACAATATCATAATTAGGACCAATCAAAATAGCAAAAAAAAGCATGGTCTGGAGAACAATTTTGGCTGGTCCTAATAAAGGAATTACCAATCTACAGTATGGACTTTTGTTTTTTCCTTCCTGTGGACCAACACAGCTTTTTACACTATAATTCTGCTCAGAATTATAAAGTGTAATAAATATTATAATTATAATAAATTATAACTGTAATAAAAATTCTATTCTACACAACATTTTTTAATGTGACTTTATGAAAATTTAGTCCTCCCAGCTCTGGTAATTAAAATAAAGCTTGTGTAATTATCTATAAGGCTGTAATCTTGTTTTTTGGGGGGGGGGTTGTACAGGAGTAACAAAATTTTAGGTATTTCAAAAACAATTCAGAAGGAAATTAATAGATGCATCCAGCCTTATCAGCAAGACCAATAACACCTTATGCTATTCCATCTTCTTGAGTCAGAAAGTCAAATAGTTAATAGTTAAACAACAATATTTAAAGTGATTAAAAAATCCACATCTTCAAGATCAACTGCTGTGCTACCCCCTGCTGCGACAGCATCCAATATTTAAGAGATATAAAGGGGAAGCATAGAAATACAAGCAGGAGCAATGTTAAGATGCTCAGGCATCCAATATCACAAGAATGAGCAATCTTTGGGTGATAGCAGACACACTTTACATTTTAGGAAGAGCAAGGATGGTAGTATGCAGTGCAAGAATACAAAGTAAAATGAGCTATATCACAGATACGAATGGAGCCAAGAAGTTGTTTTTTCTACTGTCCTGAGTTCTGTTTTTTATTTTTAAAATCTAGTTTAAGAAATACAGCACAATTCTGGCATGTTTCCCATCTCAAAGTGGCAGGAAATCATACTGCTGATTTTCAACAATCTTAATCAGAACAGATTTGAGGGCACAACTGGACCATTCTATTGTGTCAGATAGAAGACATAATGACAAACCCCTAAAATCGCTTTAACCAAGTTGCCTAATATGGGTTTTCTCACAGAACAACTCTAGATGGTAGTGTTGTGTGCGTGCGTGTCATTAAATGGGTGTGCAAGTTCCTAGAAAATACTACAGGATATAAATATGATTCTGTTCATGCACATCAAAAGGCTAAAGTAAGACATCCCACCTCTAGTCTGTTACATTGGGAAATACGTTGTAGAAAAACGCATGAAACCAGGCGGGAATAACAGATGTGTTCCCCTGACCAAGCTCCCTTCCTGTCCCTCCTCCTGGTAGAGACACAGAATAGTAAAAAGGAAGGAGGACGGGCTCTCAAAACAAGCCCTGTAACCCGCGAAGGAATAATTTAATGCATAATATAAATTACAACGCGATTCCGCTTCCCACCACCACCACCTGCCTAGCAAGTGGAGCACCTGTGTGCGCTGACTTTAAACCGGGCTGCGGGCGTGAGAGAGCGAGTAGGCGCCGTCCCCCGTTTCCAGTCCGGCGGGGGAATCGCGAGGATCCCCAAAGAGCAACGGCCGCGCTCCACGGTGCCGCCGGCTCCGCGAACGGCTCGCTTACCTCGGAGTCTTCTTTGGGCTGCGGCAGCGCGGGGAAAACTGGCTTGGCGAGCTCCATGGCCGGGATGGGCCGGGTAGGGCGAGGCTTCTTTCCTTCTGCGCGTCGTCTTTCCCCCTTCTCTCTGTCAGTCAGTGGGGCAGAGGGAGAAGGTCGGTGGGCCTCGACGCTCGAGCGGCGGGGGCCAGGACGCTGGCAGGGGACCGAAGAAGAAGATGACGAGGAGGCGGCGGCGGCTCGCGCCCAGCCGCCATGCTGTTCGCAGGCTGCCCCTCCCCCCAAAGGCAGGCGGTCGGTCGGTCGGTCGATCGGTCGGTCACTCCTGGCTTCCCTCGCAGGCGCCGTCGCACGCGCCCTCCGCTCGACGCCTCTCCTCCCCCCTCCCCTCCCGTCCCGTCCCCACGCGCTCTCCTCCTGGGCGTTCTCCAGCTGCTGCTAGCTGCCGAGAGCCAGTCGGAATGGGTGGGGAAGCCGAGGGAGTGGCGCTGAAACGGGCCGTAATGGGAATGGGTGTGGCGTGACGGAGGATCCGCCCCTCCGCGGGTCACAGCCGGAGGGGGCGTGGCCGAGCGCCAAGGTCCCAAGGGGTGTGTGACGGGAGTTGAGAGGAAGGGGCGTGTTGGGGAGCCGAGAGAACGCCCTTGTCCTCCTTTTGCTCCTGATGGAGCGCCTGCGCGGTGGAATAAGAGCGGTTGCCGCTGCCTCGTGCGCGGACGTAAGAAGACTCCGTCTCTCTCGCTCGCTCTCTGTCGCGTCACCAGCCACCTCTGGAAAGGGGTTTTCTGCCAAACTCTGTTTCAGTACAGCATGGCCCTTTTAAACTCATTTAAATTTTAATTTTAAATTTTAACTCATTTAATGCAACTTTACTCAAACTGACTTGCCAACATGGCCGTAGGATGATTTTCGTCACCTCTGTCCTGCCTAATGCTAGGAGTCATTGCATTCCCCTATTATAATGAAGAGTTGAGTAATTTCATTGTGTATTTTATTTAGCCACATTAATTACTGAGACCCTTCCCATAGCCTACTGTGAGACTCCATATTCTAGTTCTAAAATCCAATTATTTTGTTTTTGACAGAAGAAAATGGAACTCCAGATGCCAGCATAAGATTCCTAGATTATCTCTATGCTGGGTATTGGCCACATTAAATCTGTTTAGCTTTGGAAATCAGCTGCATCATTGGTTTATGTAGCTTTTTGAACTACTCAGAATGTATATCAAAAAATGGCATTAAAAAAACAACAACGGCAATTTGTGAGAAGGTGCACAGACAACCCAAACAGGGATGGAACAACTCTGATACGAGAAAAGATTGCAGTATTGAGTGCTCTCTATTTATGCTAATAAGAGGAAAAGGAAAGAGTTACAGAGGTTTCCCATAGATGTTTTTTTAGTTGCTGTAGTAAAAGAATACTGGATTAAATAAACCTTTGGACTAATCCAGCAAGTCTCCTTAAATGTTCTACCTGTTTATTCCTAGCATGTGGAAAAATTGAAATATTAAGCAAAACAATACTCATATAAGGACTCCTGTCTGCCCTGTTATTTTTAATTTAATGTACACATATAGTGCCCCCCCAAGTCCTGTGCTGCCTCATTGTGGTGGTGGTGGGGGTGTTCCTGGGAGGGACAAGCAAAGAATGTCTGGAGTGTATGCCAAGAAATTTCCAGCAGGATTAGATATGAAGATCATCCCAGCTACCCAGCTAAAGCAAGCAGGCATATATATTGGGCAGCAGTGATATAGAAAGATGCCAGAGGCAGAGGACCACTTTCAATTCATACTGTGCAGGAGAAGGCAATGGTAAACCACTCCTATATTTTTACCAAGAAAACCATATGGATAGAAAATATAAATATCCAAGTTTATGCTCTAACCACCAATGCAGAAGAAGAGGAGGTCGATGAGTTTTATGATGTTCAATTTGAAATCGACAGAATGTGCGAGCAAGATGTGCCGCTCATGATTGGAGACTGGAATGCCAAAGTTGGAAACATGAAAGAGGATAATGTAGTTGGATTGTATGGCTTAAGAAACTGAAATGAAGCAGGAGACTGACTTACCAATTTCTGCCATTCTAATTATATTTTCATAGCTAAGACTGTCTTCAAACAAAACGGCAACTCTATACGTGGACATCACCAGAATGAGTACATAGAAATGAAATTGACTGTATTATTCTAAAAGGAGGTGAAGGAGCTCAATTATAGCATCAAAGACATGGCCAGGTGCTGAGTGTGGAACAGATCACAAACAGTTCATTTGCAAGTTCCAGGTTAAGCTAAAGAAGAAGAAAGTCAGTCAGCTTCCATTATATTGAAATGGCCTAGGGAGTGTCCTGTGAGTGGGTTCTAGCGGTGGTGAATTCTTCCTTGAGGAACAGTATTGTTCCTTCGCTTCTTAAGGAGGTTTTTGTTTGCCCCCTCCTCAAGAAGCCGTTCCTGGACCCCACCATACTGGACCACTTTTTTAATCTAACTTCCTGCTTTTGGGGAACGTGGTTGAGGGGGTGGTTGCACAGCAGCTTCAGAGGGCCCTGGATGAAGCAGATTATCTGGATTCCTTTCAGTCAGGATTCAGGCCTGAGCAAGGGACAGAAATGGCATTGGTTGTGCTTTTAGATGATCTCTGGTGGGAGTGGGATGGGAGTTGTGCAACCAAGCTTGCTCTGCTTGACCTCTCAGCACCCTTCAATATCATCAACCATGGTATCTTTCTGGACCAGCTCTGGGGATGGGCAGTGCTGTATTTTGCTGGTTTGCCTCCTTTCTCTCAGGTTGATACCAGTCGGTGGCGACTGGGGGGGGGGGGGGGGGGGAGTGATCCTGCCCTCAGCCCCTACTATGTCGGGTGCCGCAGAGTTCAGTGCTCTCTCTCCTATTCAATATCTACCTGAAGCTGGCTGAGCTCATCCACAGCCACGGGGCCGAGGTATCATCAGTACACTAATTATGCCCAATTATACATCTCTGTCTCTGGTGAATAAAGCGCTGCTGTTGATGTCTTATCCGGTGCCTGGAAGCTGTAGAGATCTGGATGGGGAACAAGTGGCTTCAACTGGACCCTGGCAAGACTGGGTTTTGGGGCCTTCCGTTTCTGGGACTATGCCATCTTTGGTTCTGGATGAGGTTGCCCTGCCCCAAACAGGCCCGATGTGCAACTTGGGTGTTCTTCTAGATTCATGACTCCTGCTTGAAGAGCAAGTGGCAGTCGTGGCTAGGAAGGCCTTCGCACAGCTTCGTGTTATGCACCAGTTGTGCCCATTCCTAGATTGGGAAGCTCTGCTCACGGTTGCTCATGCCCTGGTCACCTCCCAGATGGACTGTCATAATGCGCTCTACATGGGGTTGCCCTTGAAGAATATTCAGAAGCTTCAGCTAGTGCAGAATGCAGCAGCATGGGCAGTTATGTTTTCCCCTACAACAGCACACGTTACACCTCTGCTCCACAAGCTGCATTAGTTGCCAGTTTGCTTCTGGATCCAATTCAAGGTGTTGGTTTTGATGTTTAAAGCCCTTCATGGCATGGGGCTGGGTAATTTAAAGGACCTCCTCGTCCCGATTACATTTGCCTGTCCCATCAAATCCGGCAGAAGAGGTACATTACAGGTCCCATCTGCTAAAGAGCTACATCTGTTGGGACCCAGGAGACAAGCCTTTTCTGCCATGGCGCCCGCCTTATAGAACATCATCCCCTCTGAGGTCAAACTGGCTCCGTCCCTGTTAACTTTTCTAAAGTCCCTCAAGACTTGCTATGTCATCAGGCTTGGGGGCCCCAAGGGAATGTTGAGTTGTTGAGATGGTTCCACAGTTGTTAATATCTGTCACATTCTCCTTGCCTTTTTAAAATTGTAATATTAATTTTTTAATTGTTGATTTTTTTACATTATTGTTTTTTAAATTTTTTATTGTGCACCGCCCAGAATCACATTTTGTGAGATGGGCAGCTATATAATATGATGAATAAAATAAATATTATCTTGAACATATACCCACCATTTTTAAGGAGAACATCAGGAATCGCTTTGAAGTCCTGAAGCTCATGATAGAGAACCAGAGAAATTGTACAATGAACTTAAAGAAGTCATTAAGGATGAATATGAAAAGACACTGTCAAAAATGAAGAAACAGAAGAAAGCAAACTGGAAGTCAGAACAAACTGTGGAAACTGCCGAGAAGCCAAAGCCAAGAAAGACAAAAATCTTAGAAAGGAACTTAACAAAGAGTTTCAGAGAGCTGTTAGAAGAGACAAGAAGCAGTATTACA